GGGAATAGGGCGGCATATAAATAAAATGAACCTTGAACCTTGAACCTTCTTGAGATGGGGAATCCTTGAAAACTTAGAAAATTAGCTCATTGCTATTAAATATTGCAGGAATGTATTCGCTTCAATTAGAACCACATAGTAATCTAAACAACTGATCTGACTTAGATAATGAGTGTTGTTCCTGTAAATCTTGCTAAACCTCTCAGCTATCTCAGGTATCTAGTGCAGTGGTCCCCAGTTGGAAAGGGGGGGAACCAGGCCACGTGAGTGGCTGGCAGGTACATCCATGTGCAGCTCAACTTGCACAAAGCCCACTGCTCGAGCAAGTCAAGCAGAGTGCATGCTGGTCCGTCGCTCCCACGGCCCAATTCTGAACAGGCCACGGCCCAATAGTGGGCCGTGGGTTGGGAACCCCTGATCTAAATATACGAGGCTTTCTCCTTCCCTTGTCCTGATTTTGGGAGGAGGCACCTTGGAGCTGCCTACGGTACTACTTTCCACAATTGTTTACAACTCTCAGACACTTCCAAGCAGTTTCTATAATGCCAATCTTGTTTCCTGAGCTTCATCTCCCAGTCCAGCCATTTTGGCAATCCAACATGCCTTGCTTTAGCATCCCGATCAGGCATCACTTATGCTACATATATGCATACTGTCTAGTTTGGCCGAATGATGAAAATTGTTTATAGGTAGACCTACGACCACAACTGAGCCCAAAGTTTCTGTTGTCATTAAGACCCTTGTTAAGTGAATTTTGCCCCATTGTACAACTTGTCTTGCCAAACTTGTTAAGTGAATCACTGCAGTTGTTAAGTTAGTAACATGGTGGTTAAATGAATCTGGCTTCCCCATTGACTTTGTCAGAAGCCAGCAAGTGAAGATAGCCAGTGGCAATCGTGTGACTGCAGGATGCTGCCGCGGCCATAATTGCAAGCTGGTTGCCAAGCATCCAAATCACAATCACATGATACAGAGCACTACAACAGCTGGAATTAATGAGGAATGGTCTTGTCCTCCCCATTCAGTGCTCTCCTAACTTTGAATAGTCACTGAATGAACGGTCATTCAACAAGGACTGCTTGTTGGATGCATTTCATGGGTTCTTCAGTCTGACCCTTGATTAACTGTTGAAGAAGTCCTCAAAGTATCTCCTAGAGCTGCAGGTTTTTCCTTCAAAAATGGATTGCCTTCAAATGTGTTAGTTATGGGGCATTCTTCTGACCTTAGGCAAAATAAATTCCTGTATGTTTTTCTTTCTGATTGGATTAAGGAGGTAAACGTTACTTAAGACCAGTTTGCAGCATTTAAGAAATTAGCTCTTAAAGAGCAATCTAGGACTGCTTGTTTTAAGTAAATCCTGTCTCTCCACCAGCTATTTCCTAAATAGCTTTCCCGCTTTCCCCTTCAAACAGCCAACTGCTTTTTAGCTTCCTTCTTTTTAGGATTGATCAGCCCCTACGATATAATTAGTGTTTCTGCTTGTTAATAGTTACTGAACAGGCTATCCAGTTTTTACATTGCACAGAGCCTGAGCCAGGTTCAATTTGTGGTTTGGGGTCCTCAAATAAGACACAAACAATTAAGAGATGATAATTGTGAAAGTAATACTGATTAGCCTTGTACTGGCAGAGTGAGACCACTCTAGGCTGCTCTGAGCTGTGCTACTTAGCTTGCCTGCACAAGTCTAGTGCTTCATGGCAGATCACCCAGTTTGACACATAGATAATATAGAGATTAAAACATAATAAAAGTAAGTGATATATTTATTTCTTGCCCAACAGTAGCAACATAAGGTAGACAATATAAATATGTACAAAGTTACCATTTCACCTTCTGACTAGTGTTTTCTGGGATCAGGTTAGGTTTTAGAATCTAAACCTCTTATCTATCTTTATATGTGTATAAAATTGTTGGATAAGGGAGCATGCTATAACATTTTTAACATTTGTGTTAAAAATCCTTTAATTTTCTGTCTCTTGTTTCTTTTTTCCTAGAGTCTTAGTGCCAAATAGTAGCTTTCAAGATGTTTGGGCCTTGTATAGATTCTTAACTAATAATGAGGTGAGTTATTTAACTTTCAAGTGTTTGGTATGTTTGTTGTTGTTAAATTGTTTATGATAGAAAAGGCAGAAATTTTGGATAAAGATTTCAAAGAAGTCTGGTACACATTTTAAAAAAAATAAGGTTCAATGTATGTACTTTGAAAAGGCCTACACCATAACCTAAATGCACTTCACGCTCTGTATGATGAATTTGTTGAATATATTGTGCCTGTTGAATTTTAATCTAATGAAAGTGCCATTTTGGTTACCAAGCCATAAATGGGTCAGGGTTGGTGACTCATTCGTTGTACAAAGTACCCTCGAATTTGACAAGACAAAATTATTAATCATTTGGGCAAGGTTAATCAGAAAAATAAGTACTTTAAATATGCAAAACTTAGGGCACCCATTTTGCTCTGAATGACTACATTAAATTCCCTCTTATATGACTTCAGAATATGACAGGCCATATCTTCTGGGTTCAAATCAAAAAATGTTCTCTCCCAATGTCCCTTGGGTACAAAAGAGTTGCTCTGGTTCAAACAGAGCAAAAATATACAGGGAGGAAGTTACATAGTTACATAGTAATTAATAAAATGCATGTCTGGCTTAGCACTGATTTACTAGTCAAAGCTGTAAGAGAAGAGTAGGCACAGTTAAACTTGTCATCAGTTTAGAGTCCTTGCATTGCCACAAATGACCAAATTGCCCCCCCCCCGAATTCCGTTGACTTTTATCTAGCGCCAATTTAGTGCTGACTGTTACTAGACTAGATTCTTGTGTATAGGTTTGAATAAATCTGTGCTGCAACTTAACACATGGCCCTGTTCCTTCACACCTGACCAAAGCTTATATGAGATCCTCCCACAACCTTGATTAAGCCATTCTTTTCCCACTGCAAACAGCATTTGCACCTGCATTAAGATTATCAGAAAGGGGAAGCTTTCTCAAACCCTCGGGGTTCGCGAAAATTGTCTTCCATCAAATTCTTTTGCTGCAGTTGTTGCTGTCTACAGCAGTGTTTCTCAACCTTGGCGACTTTCAGTCCTTTGGACTTCAACTCCCAGAATCCCCCAGCCAGCTATGCTGGCTGGGGGATTCTAGGAGTTGAAGTCCACAGGACTGAAAGTTGCCAAGGTTGAGAAACACTGGTCTACAGTGTTAATACTGGTATAAGATCTGTGGGCCAGTTCATAGTAGTTAATTTTTTTAACAAATCTGAAGCTTTTATTTGCTTTTATTACAGCAACAAACAATTTCCAGTATATAACATTAGTATTTGAGAATGACTTTTCCTACATTAGTAAGTTGATGTCTTTTCAATTCATAGGTAAATAATAGTACAAAATTTACTGCTGAGGAACTTTACGATTGTATTTCCCAAGAAATGTATAGGTAAGCTTTTTTTTTTTAAAGGAACAAAAATAAATCAATACTAAATGTTTTTCATAACCTTCCCCTGCAACAGCCTATGCAAAATCTGTTTTTGGTAATCCTATCGCTTTGAGTTCAAGTAGCATTTTAACAAACATTTAAAAGGCTATAATCATTTTTAATTAGATACTGATATAAGTACCTCTTGCTTATTTGTTTGTTTGTTTGTTTGTTTGTTTGTTTAATTATTTATTTATTGAATTTATATAAATTTCCCAAGACTGTTTCAGAGAAGTAACCAGTTTGTTTATGCTTATCAAATAACCTGATTCCTTTTCAAGTTCATGGTGGTATATTGACCTAAATTAGCAAACAATTAGCAACTTTTTTTTTAACTGTGCAGGTGCTTTAGAAGTAGCCTCAGCATACTACTGCTTCACTGTCATTAAGCGAATGCCATAGGCAATAAGCAAACTTCTTGGGCATTAAGTGAGCATGGGTATTAAGCAAATCCCCTGGATGTTAAATCAACCAATGGTTCACTATGAGTGCAGTTTTGCCAAAAAAAAACCAAACCCCAAACCCAGAAATAAGTGCTGGTTTTTAG